TCAGCAGGTGCTGCTGGAGCTAAAATTCAAACGCTGGAGGACAGCCCGAGTCAGGCTGTGTCCAGGTGTCTCTCAACTGTTCCTTCCGTTCTAGGAGGAATACGAGGATTCTAGCGGGAATGTGGTGAATAAAAAGACCTATGAAGACCTGAAACGTCAAGGGCTGCTGTAGCTTTTCCCAAGGGAAGGATTTCACACCTGAAAAGCAAGTGGATATGTGTCAGCAGCTCTGAGTCTTCTTCTGTTTCTGGATTTTCTATGTGCATGAATATAGATTTCAAGGATACTTTATAGAATCACTTTCTAGTAAGCCCCTTGTGAAAAGCAGACGTGTGACGTTATTTTATATTAAAAACCCCCTTGAAGAATAAACTGGTTTTAATTTAGGAAATGCTGAGAAACTTGTCTCCTTTCATATGCTGGAAGGAAGAGATTTGATTACGGTATTTTTAAAATGCTTTTTATGCAGTTTGAATTGTCAGCAACAATTGCTTTTCTCTTATTCCCATTCTGATGGAAACTTTTATAATGAGGATTGACTTTCTGTAAAGCACACGTGAACGTTGCATGCTGACAACGAGTAACGGTCCTATACTGTATCTTGCTGTAAGCACATGGTTTTCTGTGGGCTCCTTTGCAAAACAAACGTATTTGGCTTCCATTGCTGCTTTTACCTCGGGTCTGTCTCCCTGTGGAGGTTTGGCCACCGGGATTTTATCGGGGAATTAATAATAGAGGTTGAGAGTTTATGGTAATTCCTCCAGCACTGTGGCAGCCCTCCTGCCCCCTCCGGCCCCTCGGGTGGGTTTCATTTTGGTATGGAGTTGGCTTGTGCGACATCTCCAGCCTCAAACCCCCCCCTTTCTCTGTTGTCGCTGTGCAGGGCCGTTTGCATCTCCAGGTGCCATGGAGCAGCAGGTAACAAACGCTTCCCCCGGGTGATGGTTTGCGCAGCCGGTGGTTGGCAGGGGTGGGACCGGTTGCTGGCACCAGGCTGCGAACCTGCGCGGCCGGTGCCGCAGCTGCTGTCGGTGCTCGCAGACTCCACCGCTAGCAGCGGCTCCAGGCTTTCGCTGGGGCTTTGGGGAGCAGACGGACAGGGTGAGTCAATGCTGTGGGCTCTTTCCTTTCCCTGCCCTGGGGGAAGGTTGTTCTCCTTGGGACGAGGCCGTGGTGGTGGGCGTTCGTTCCTAGCCTGCCCCGGAGCTGGGTTGGGCTGTGCTGGAGTGGCCCCCGGCTCAGTAAGGTCCAAACCTGGCCTGCGGGGTGGCTGCCCCGGTTTGGAAGGCGAGAGAGACGCCAGCCTGCGTTGGCTTCTCTTCCACTCTGAGTGAACAGCCTCAGTGGTCTCTGTGCAAGCTTCAGCCATTCCAGGTCCTCGGGGAATGCTAACTGGGCCTAAATCATGAGGCGGGAGGGGAGCGTTACAGTTCTCCTTGGAGAACTTGGCCATGGAGCCTGTTTGAAGTCACGTCTCCACTGTTTCCTTAGCTAAACAGGGAAAGATATTGAGTGAAAGCAGAGAGATTCCTGCAGCGGAGAGCTGGGTGTCATGGGAAGCACCAAAGCAGGTGGAATTTCCCAAACCATGGGGGCGAGCGGCAGGGCAAGGGGCTGGGGGGTGAGAAGCTGTGCAGATGCCTCTTTGTAGTCAGGCCTTGCCAGCAGCGTGGAGGCACAAGCAAGGACGTAACCAGGAGCTTGACAGCAGGAAACCTCTCTCCATCGGACCCGCTCCGTCGTGAAGCCTAGCCGCTGTTGGCGAAGTCCCCTTCTCCCTGCCGTGAAGCAGCGGTGGCTCCCGTGCCCGCCCTCAGGAGCAAGCTGCTGCAGCAGCTCTGCCAGGCAGCTCCTCTCACAGCAGACCTGCCTCCTGCCCCGTCTGCCCGGCCCGTATTGCTTGCCCAGAGGTGCCGCCTGGTTTCCTTGCGCAGTCCGGGCAGCGAGCCGCTCACAGCCCGAGGGCTGGGAAATCCTGCGTGAAAGGGATGTGCGTGCCGCCGTCCCGGGCTGGGGGGCTGCGGTGTGGGCTGGCAGGGAGGGGACAGGTGGGAAGGATGTGACTAGTTATCGTGAGCTAACCAGAAATATTTGAGCGTCGGCAGCGCAACGGCTCTTTATGATCCAGAGCATTGCCACCTCTCGCTAGGGAAAGCTGCTTTGGCTGTAAATGTTCCTCTTTACGTTCCACATGAGTTGTGTGCCAGAACTAATAGGCTTATTAGTTTTGCTCTGTGCCAGGTCCTGCGGGCCTGTTGCATGGGCATGTCTGGAAATGAGCATTTTTCACACCAGACTTCGTCCATCCGCAGCAAGAGCTGTGGAGGGTCTCTCTTGCTGCCCTGAGCTCTGAGGGCTGGTGGGCTTGGGTCCTCCCGTGATGGGTGCTGCTGCCGGCGGGTCGCATCTTCATTTGCGACAGCATCAGCAAACTGCTGCGCGGTGCCGAGTGTCATCCGTAACTACCCTGCCCGCGTGCTCCTGGCAGCTGCCTGCAGCTCTGCGTATTGCCTGTGCGCACCGGTGGAGGGTTACCACACCAACGGGAGCGCGTGGCTCCCCGGGGGGCTCCTGCTCGCCAGCAGCCCTGCTGGGCCCCTGGGCCCCGTCAGCGGCAGGGGGGGGGGGCCGGCCCCCGGGCTTTGGGGGGGGCCTCCCGGGGGGGCGG